AACATACCCCCTTTTTAACTAATTGTATTAGCTAACATAATTAACTGACTGCCTCAATAACTACTGTGAACTAAAAAAAAAGATATAATTAGCTTTTTCTGGTAAAAGGTCCTACATTACTTTTGTCACTCTTTGGAAACAGCCTCTATAGAGTTAACCCGTTTCCGCTTTCAAAAATTTGCTCCTGGTTTCTTCACCCCTTTAATGGGTAGCACATATAGAATAGAATAGAATAGAATAGAATGCTTTATTGTCACTATACGGTTGTACAATGAGTTACAGAGCACCTCCTCCTCAGTGCAAACATGCTGGGGGGGGGGGGGGGGGGGGGGGGGGGGCACAGTTCTGCAGCGCTATATAAATATGAACAGTATTAACACAGGGAAAAAATACATCAAAATCCTCAGGGTGCTTAGCAGAGCTCTTTTGGCACAAATCTTCAGCCCAATTAACAGTTTTTCCACACACATTCACAATTCTTTCAATGGCATTTTAGCACAATTCACTCTCTCATTTAACAGATCTTCTCACACACACGCTACACCCTTCTCTATTAGACTTTCAAAACAATATACACTTTTGATCATTCATCCAAAAACAATTTTACACTTCATTTATACATTCACACATTTATAAAGCCACCAAATGCCAAGATACATTATTTCCATTACTCAGTATTCAACATTTCCATTACTCAACATCACATCGTCTTCCCTGGTACCAGCGTTCCTACCTTTTCGACTACTTTAAAAGCCTCTAAGGCCCAGGTCTGCCCATCTTGCTGGTCAAACAACGCCATCATCAATAGCGGTCAAATTTCTAGGCCCTATTTAAAAGCGCTCCCCGCAGCTTGACCAGAAGCTCCACTTAACCAGCGTTTCAGTATCCTACTGGTGCCTGAAGCTTTACTTAAAGCTTTACCGGTCACCCGCGTTGAAATGGTCACACCCAAGCCCCACTTTGTCGTTTAATCGGTGCAACAAAAGTGGTACTTGACCACTGATTATTAACGACCGACCTCAGTGGTCACGGGAATCACCCGGGTTCTCCTGTTGCCGCAGGTCTCTAACGCGCGTCTGCAGTAAAGTGTGGGAACCAACCCCGAACCTTTTGCACCCCTGGAGTTCAACTCCAGTCTTAGATTAATTTAAATAACTTTAGAAGCACCACTGTGGACTCTAAGCGCCAGTTTATTTATCTGATACTCGGGTCCCACCCTCTTTCCTTGTCTAAGATAACACAATTGACACACATAACACATCAACTTTAAAATTCACCCCAGCATTAACAACAATAAGTTTTCATCAAATATTCCCTAGACTTTACTTTTTATTTATCACACATTACCGAAAATCACCATGGACATGTCATACTTAACAGATTTTATAATTTACTTTCATTTCACCACTACTGAGCCAATTTAACGGTAAGGATCATTAACTTGGTGACCAGATAATTTAGAATTCATCCAATCTGCACAATTTGCTTTTTTTTTTTTTTTGAACAGGCTCTGCCTACCTTTAAATCTTTTTAGACAGGTCTCCTGTTCGCCTCAATTCTGATCGCACCATAAGAGAAATTTGTCCTCTCAGCCGTAAAAGAATACGGGTCAAGGCACCAATTATTAAATTTCGGTTCTTTTGATTCTTTTAGCGAGAGAGAAAGACTTCCAACTCACAGTGGTGAAGCTCAGAAAATCATTTTTATTGTACATTTCTGGAAACAGAGAACTGTAGACACGAGCACGCACCCAGAGTTCTAAAAGCAATGCAAGCTAAAATACGTATATATAGTTCTGCTATAGGTCACACACAGACACACACAGTTTCCATCAAAACAACTCCTTCTGCTCTGACTAATGTGTGTGTGTTACTTAGTTCTGCTTTTTCCGTCTGGTTTCCTGTATTTTATTAATATGCCTCTGCAGCTCTGCACCAAACTTTCTGTTTCTTAAGTTCCCCTTACTGAAGCCTCTGTTGCTAGGTGACCTTTAACCCTCTGACCTAGTTCTTTCTCACATCTGGGTCTGGATTTATAAAGGCCTTTATTATTAATATACACAAAACAATCTAATCAGAAAATAAGAACTAAGAATATATATTTATGTCGTAACCCTATCTAATAAAAAGACGTCTTTAAAGGAGTGTGTTATGGATCCCAGTGTGTGTTACGACCCCCTCTGCTAGGTGACAGGTGGGGAGAAACATACACAAGCCCTCTCACAAAATCAGAGTGAGTAAGGGGTTTTATTGCAAATGTTAAACTGAAAACCATCTGGGCTGTTCAACAGACCACCGGGCAAACAATTAATACACAAAAAAAAGAAAAGGCACGAATAAAAGCTAAGGATTAACTAAGGAGAGCCAGCAATCACAAGTCTCTGATAAAAGATTACTTGTTCTTATCGATTAATAATGCAGAATTATCATATAGAAATAAAAGAAAACTGAAGTTGTGCCATTGGAACATGTTGCCTGGCTGAAGCACTAAAGGACTCGGCGAGAGACATCTGTCTCGCCCTAGCAGCACCTGTCCCTCTCCGCTCCTCCCTTCAGTTTTTCCTCAATATATGCTCGTCATATTCTGTGATATGATTTACAGTGAGGTCTTTGATGAGGTTAGTGGTGTTGCCACAACACCTCACTGTCTTGCCGCATGTATCACAAACCGTGTCTTGGCTGCCACTTCGAGCCTTTACTTGAACTGAGCCTGTGGTCATCCACTTTCTCAATATGTTCCTAACTGTGGAAACAGACGGCTTAAATCTCTGAGACAGCTTTCTGTGTCCTTCCCCTAAACCATGATGGTGAACAATCTTTGTCTTCAGGTCATTTGAGAGTTGTTTTGAGACCGCCATGTTGCTACTCTTCAGAGAAAATTAAAAGAGGAGGGACACTTACAGTTGACCCCTTAAATACTCTTTGTCATTATTGGATTCACCTGTGTATGTAGGTCAGGGGTCACTGAGCTTACCGAACCAATTTGAGTTCCAATAATTAGTTCTACAGGTTTTGGAATCATTAAAATGGCAACAGCGCCCAAATTTATGCACCTGCCTGATTTTGTTTAAACAATTATTGCACACTTTCTGTAAATCCAATAAACTTCATTTCACTTCTCAAATATCACTGTGTGTGTCTCCTATATGATATATTTAACTGACATTTCTTATCATAACAACCAACGATTGATACAGGAAAATAATGACTATTAACAGGGTCGCCCAAACTTTTGCATCCCACTGTAGTCTGCTTTTACTGACTGTGACACTAAATGAATGTTAAAATCACCCACAATAATTATTTTATGTGAGCTGAGCACTAAATCAGATAAAAACTCACAAATCAGACAGAAACTCTGTGTAAGGCCCAGGTGGATGATAGATGATAACAAAGAAGATTAGTTTTTGTGTTTTTTGATTTGTTGATTAATTATTAAGTCATGTCTGGTAGTTAGAATGACTCGGGGGTGTTGATTCATTTAAACTAACATAATCATCCTGCTGCAACCAGGTTTCTGTAAGGCAGAGTAAATCAATTTGTTGATCAATTATTAAGTCATGTACTAACAGAGACTTGGAGGAGAGAGACCTAATATTTAATAATCCACATTTCACTGTTTTACTCTTTGGTTCAGATGTGGATACTGTATTGTTCTTTCTTTGTGATTGTTTATGTTTAAGTTGTTTGTTGCTGGTTTTTAGTTTGTTTTTGTCTTTTTGGAAGCTGACACAGTCTCTATGGAGATGGGTTTTTGGGGGGGTAGCAGGAGGAGAGAAGCTGCAGAGAGGCGTGTAAGACTGCAACTCTGCTTCCTGGTCCCAACTCTGGATAGTCATATTTTGGGGGGTTTAATAAATGTGTCCATATTTCTAGAAATGAGAGCTGCTCCATCCAAAGTGGGATGGATGCCGTCTCTTCTAACAAGACCAGGTTTCCTCCAGAAGGTTTGCCAATTATCTATGAAGCCCACATCATTTCTGGGACACCACTCAGACAGCCAGCAATTTAAGGAGAACATGCGGCTAAACATGTCACTCCTGGTCTGATTGGGGAGGGAACCAGAGAAAACTACAGAGTCCGACATTGTTTTGGCAAAGTTGCACACCGATTCAATATTGATTTTAGTGACCTCCGATTGGCGTAACCGGGTGTCATTACTGCCGACGTGAATCATGATTTTACTGAATTTACGTTTACCCTTAGCCAGCAGTTTTAAATTTCCCTCAGTGTCGCCTGCTCTGGCCCCTGGAAGACAATTGACTATGGTTGCAGGTGTCTCTAGCTTCACATGTCTGAGAACAGAATCACCAATTACCAGAGTTTGACCGCCGGCGGGTGTGTCGCCAAGTGGGGAAAAACTGTTAGACACATGAACGGGTTGGTGGTGTACCTGGGGCTTCTGTTTAGGACTATGCTTCCTCCTCACCGTCACCCTGCCAGCCAGCCTGTTTCTCTGGCTGCTCGGCACATTCCGCTGAGGGAGAGCAAGTGGGCGCTATGTTACCTTGTTCCCTAACTACAGGGGCCTGACTAGCTACGGGTGTTTCAAGGGTGTGACACCGACCCAGTTGACACCAGTTCTGCAAAGAAGAATGAAAGAAACTGTGTAAAATTAGGTTTACCAAGCTTTAAGCATTATAATCAAAAAGACTTGCAGCTGTAATTGCTGCCAGATGTACTTCCACAAAGAATTGCGGCGAGACTATGAATTATTATGTATGGCAACATTTTATTAGTTTTTAATACATTAACAAGAATTCCAAGCATGCGTGTCTTACATTGTCATTATGTGGTATTTTATTTTTTTTTAAATTGACCTGAGAAGTGAATTTACCACATTTTGAAAGAATGCATGACAAAATGTGAAATAAGTGAAAGGCTGTGGATACACTTTATCTGTAGCTTCTATGTAGGGACCCTTTTGGTCAGGTAATGTTTTGACTGTTTCTGCCCAGGCATTGATACTGACATGTTAACCGCTTTTGTTTATTATTTCAGAGGCTCTTGAGAAGTGTCAGATTAACTTCAAGTTAGAACTGAAGAAGAAGTTCCAGTGTGTGTTTGAGGGCATCGCTAAAGCAGGAAACCCAACCCTTCTGAATCAGATCTACACAGAGCTCTACATCACAGAGGGAGGGACTGCAGAGGTCAATAATGAACATGAAGTCAGACAGATTGAAACAGCCTCCAGGAAACCAGACAGACCAGAAACAACAATCAGACAAGAAGACATCTTTAAAGCCTCACCTGGAAGAGAAGAACCAATCAGAACAGTGCTGACAATGGGAGTGGCTGGCATTGGGAAAACAGTCTTAACACAGAAATACAGCCTGGACTGGGCTGAAGACAAAGCCAACCAGGACATCCAGTTCATATTTCCATTCACTTTCAGAGAGCTGAATGTGCTGAAAGAGGAAAAGTTCAGCTTGGTGGAACTTGTTCATCACTTCTTTACTGAAACCAAAGAAGCAGGAATCTGCAGCTTTGAAGACTTCCAGGTTGTGTTCATCTTTGATGGTCTGGATGAGTGTCGACTTCCTCTGGACTTCCACAAAACTACAATCCTAACTGACCCTAGAAAGTCCACCTCAGTGGATGTGCTGCTGATAAACCTCATCAGGGGGAAACTGCTTCCCTCTGCTTGCCTCTGGATAACCACACGACCTGCAGTAGCCAATGAGATCCCTCCTGACTGTGTTGGCATGGCGACAGAGGTCAGAGGGTTCACTGACCCACAGAAGGAGGAGTACTTCAGGAAGAGATTCAGAGATAAGGAGCAGGCCAGCAGGATCATCTCCCACATCAAGACATCACGAAGCCTCCACATCATGTGTCACATCCCAGTCTTCTGCTGGATCACTGCTACAGTTCTGGAGGATGTGCTGAAAACCAGAGAGGGAGGACAGCTGCCAACGACCCTGACTGAGATGTACATCCACTTCCTGGTGGTTCAGGCCAAAAGAAAGAAGATAAAGTATGATGGAGGAGATGAGACAGATCCACACTGGAGTCCAGAGAGCAGGGAGATGATTGAGTCTCTGGGAAAACTGGCTTTTGATCAGCTGCAGAAAGGAAACCTGATCTTCTATAAATCAGACCTGACAGAGTGTGGCATCGATATCAGAGCAGCCTCAGTGTACTCAGGAGTGTTCACACAGATCTTTAAAGAGGAGAGAGGACTGAACCAGGACAAGGTGTTCTGCTTCATCCATCTGAGTGTTCAGGAGTTTCTGGCTGCTCTTCATGTCCATCTGACCTTCATCAACTCTGGAGTTAATCTGGTAGAAGAACAACAAACAATCTCCAAGAACTCTGAAGCAAGAGAACCTGCAGAGAAACACTTCTACCAGAGTGCTGTGAACAAAGCCTTACAGAGTCCAAATGGACACCTGGACTTGTTCCTCCGCTTCCTTCTAGGTCTTTCACTAAACAGCAATCACAATTTTCTACAAGGTCTGCTGACAAAGACAGGAAGCAGCTCACAGACCAATCAGGAAACAGTCCAGTACATCAAGAAGAAGCTCAGTGAGAATCTGTCTGCAGAGAAAAGCATCAATCTGTTCCACTGTCTGAATGAACTGAATGATCGTTCTCTAGTAGAGGAGATCCAACAGTCCCTGAAATCAGGAAGTCTCTCCACAGAAAAACTGTCTCCTGCTCAGTGGTCAGCTCTGGTCTTCATCTTACTGTCATCAGAAAAAGATCTGGATGTGTTTGACCTGAAGAAATACTCTGCTTCGGAGGAGGCTCTTCTGAGGCTGCTGCCAGTGGTCAAAGCCTCCAACAAGGCTCTGTAAGTAATATTAAATCAGGCATGATCAGTTCAGAGAACACTTAAAAATACATAAAAATAGGGAATTAAATGATCATCACTCACTTGGTCAACTATGATACCTTTAATGTTTCAGTCCAGCCGGACCCGTCAGCATTTCTCAGAAATTTTTGTCTGTAGCTCTTATCAAAGGACAATCCAGCCTATAAGACTATGGGCTCTGATCCTTCAGCCCCTCTTACGGGTTCATTATCCTCAGCTTGCTCACTTAGTTCTTTTTTTCTAAAGCATATACCTCAGTTATGTTGTGGAAACTCTTAAATAAAACTGCAACTACCAGCTAAGCGTGTCTTTTGAAGTGAGGTTTATTAAAAGAAAGAAAGATGAAAAACACTGCAGTGGAGAGAACGTTCAGATCAAACACCAAACATTTTTCTGAGGAGGCACACCACCCTGAAATATTTTATATCTGCCCAAACACTCTTAAACAAAGAACATTCCATAGCATATCATAAATCTCTATACCTTCAGTCCAGCTCATTCTTTACCCCCTCCTACTCTAACAAAAGTTACGACCACCCATCACCTCATTAAGAGCAGGATGTCTGGAGATCTTCAAGTCTCAAGTGGACCGTCTGTGAAGATGCAATAAAACCTAAGGCCCAATTGTGAAAACATTCTACATGCATACAACTGGTGTCAGGAGTCATCTTGCTAAACTAAAGAGATATGATTAAAATATGTGATTAATGCACGAGAAAAGAAATCTGCCACCAGTTACAAGATTGTATCTTTTCTTGATGTTTATAATCCAAGTTCTGGTTTCTGTCTCACCTTAAGTACACACTCATTTTTTTATATAATTCTCTGCTATGGCTGTCCTGATTATATCCAGTATAGAGGAAAAACCTTGGGCATCATAATTAAAATTGCCGTCAATGTCCTGTTTCTTGTCAGTAACTGAAATTGTCCAATCGAAAACACGTTGGTATTTAGGGAGGGCAGGACTTTAAAAGGCAGCTTGTTTTTGACAAAAAAAAAAAAAAACCAAGAGTCTGCACCAAGTCCATCATGTGAGCAATTATTTACAACCACATTTACTGTAATCACAGATATTAGAATTAATAAAGTGACCAACAGTACTGTAGTAAGTTTAGTACTGTAGTAACTGTAGTACTGTAGTACTCACAGGCCTGAGCCAGCAGACACTGAACTAGTGTCACTAAATCTACCCGCTCTTCTCTGGTTTCCATTTAGATACACTGGTATAATTGTGAGGCAGCACGGTGGCATGGTGGTTAGCACTGTTGCCGCACAGCAAGAAGGTCCTGAGTTCAATTCCACCATCAGGCCGGGGTCTTTCTGTGTGGAGTTTGCATGTTCTCCCCGTGTCTGCGTGGGTTCTCTCCGGGTCCTCCGGCTTCCTCCCACCGTCCAAAGACATGCAGCTTGTGGGGATAGGTTAATTGGATAATCCAAATTGCCACTAGGTATGAATGTGAGTGTGAATGGTTGTCTGTCCCTATGTGTTAGCCCTGCGACAGACTGGCGACCTGTCCAGGGTGTACCCCGCCTTTCGCCCTATGACAGCTGGGATAGGCTCCAGCGCCCCCGCGACCCTGAAAAGGATAAGCGGAAGCGAATGGATGGATGGCTGGAAGTTATAATTGTGTTTCAAATGAAATATTTTTCTTCTTTTCTCTTGAACATTTTTTTAATTTAATTTTGCATTGTAGTGTACTCATTTGTGCTCATTTGATTACCTAGGTTCATCATATAAAGTGATTATATTTGATAATAGATATTGTTTTGTTGTTCTTGTTCTTGTTGTTTTTTGCAGGCTGAGCAGCTGTAACCTCTCAGAGAAAAGCTGTGAAGATTTGTTGTCAGTCATCAGCTCCCAGTCCTGTAGTCTGAGAGAGCTGGACCTGAGTACCAACAGCCTCAATGATTCAGCTGTAAAGCTTCTGTCTGATGCAGTGGAGAGTCCACACACCAAACTGAATATCCTGAGGTCAGATCAGAATTTGTATTCTCTTTTGTTTGTTTATATGTTTGTTTTTTGTTTTTATCAAGTGAGAAAATTTAGCCAGTAAAGGTAAACTTTACCATTTATTGTTGTTTTGTACAATTTTTATTCATTTCTATGTTAAAGTGAAGTTTTACTAACCTACTCAGCACAAAACAAACAGGATTAGTTATTACACCTTGATTACACTTTAACAGCAGTCTTTCTTAATGTTTTTATTTTCAGACTCAACATCTGTGAACTCTCAGAGAAAATCTGTGAAGCTCTGTCCTCAGTTCTCATCTCTGGGTCCTCTAGTCTGACAGAGCTGGACCTGACCATCAAAAACCTGCAGGATACAGGAGTAAAGTTTCTGTCTGCTGGAGTACAAAGTTTAAACTGTAAACTGAATGCTCTGAGGTCAGATCAAATGTCATTTTATTTTTTTTAAAACGAACCAATTCAAGATTTTGTCCATGTTCATCCATATGATGTTGTGTCTTAGAATATTAAGGTTTCCTTTAAAAATAAAAAAAGATGCCGCATGTAATGTAGTAATATAATAACAAACTTTACATAAGTATTTGTTTTATAGTTTGTCTTTTATTTTTTTAGACTGACTGGTTGTAATCTCTCAGAGACAAGCTGTGAAGCTTTGTCCTCAGTTCTCAGCTCCCAGTCCTCTAGTCTGAGAGAGCTGGACCTGAGTAACTCTGACCTGCAGGATTCAGGAGTGAAGCTTCTGTCTGCTGGACTAAAGAGTTCACAGAGTGCAGTGGAAACTCTCAGGTTAGGATTCAAACTTTTCCACATATGATCATTTAAAATGTGAATTATATTATTGATTGACTTATTAATAGAACTTTCAGCTGAACTGTCACTTCATATTATCCTCACAAATGGAATTATCAGGAACCTGCTGGAGCCACACACTCAGTTTAGGAGCTCTTGTTGCTGCCGTAGATAAGTGGTTAGAAAAATGGGTGCCTGAATGGATGGATGCTATGAATTATAATAAAGACTTGAATACATCAAAGTGGAGTAATCAAAGCAATGTGGAACATGTTTTGAGCTCAAGAGGTTGTGAAGGGTGAAGGCAACAGTGGTCCCAGTGGTAATTGCAGCACTCAGGCAGAGACACCCTCCGTGATGTTATAAAGTTGGAGTTCGGGTATACCTTGAACAGCCTACCAGTCCATCACAGGGCAGTGTATATTTATACTCATTACTTCACAAATCAAATATTCACGTTAAATGTATAATCTTCCTTTCACTCAATGTTTCATACATTAGCTGTAACGATACATGACCTTTTTTTCCTACTACATTATAAACATTGAAAATGCATCTATGAGAAACTTTTTTCTGCAGTGATGAGCTAGCAACATCACACTAAAGGTGATTCAGCCTCTCTTGCCCTGAAGAAGCATGAGCAGCTTTTCTTTAAGTCCACTCGGTCCCTCCACACTAGCCCAGGACTGGTGAGGCAGACAACCCTGTTGATAACTGCCAATGGGACAAGGGAAGTCTGGGTCTGCTCTTTGTCGCTTTTACCTCTGTGGCTCTTCATGTGGCTGTCCTTCTAACCCAGGGGTGTCAAACTCCAGGCCTTGAGGGCCAGTGTCCTGCAGGTTTTAGATGTGTCCTTGATCCAACACAGCTGATTTAAATCGCCAAATTACCTCTTCCACATGTCTTGAAGTTCTCCAGAGGCCTGGTAATGAACTAATCATTTGATTCAGGTGTGTTGACACAGGTTGGGATCCAAAACCTGCAGGATACTGGCCCTCAAGTCCTGGAGTTTGACACCACTGCTCTAACCCATCTCAATGACAGTGGGATATGTCACTTGCATTGTGACAGTGCTTTTTCTCCATTCCCAGCACCTTCATAGGGTATTGGTCCTGTTAGAGCCTCTGGACATGGTACCAATGGTTACTTCCTCTTTAAAAGCTGGGTTCTTTTATTTATTGCCTTTGACAAACAAGTGGCCACTTTTCATCACTCATCCAAGTGACTTCTTCAGTCTCAGCAAGGTGTTTGACTTTACTGAGAAGGCTCGTCTAGCACAGCACAAGAAGACTAAGACCAGGCAACAAAGGAAGTTTGACTTACTTCTTGTACGTCGGAAACCACAGCAAAATACGGAGAGTGTCCTCAACAGCCAGAAGAGAGGAGGATATGATACCGTGGATGTGGACAACTGGGTGAAGAATTTGTCTGACAGACAGATCACCCAAACAGAGAAAAACATCCTTGCTAAAGGGTTGAATTTTGCTGTCACACCGAGACAAATCCCGCTAGTGGAGCTGATCACAGCCCACAGAAACTGCAAGCCTTCTCAGTAAAGTCAAACACCTTTTTGGTACATCTGTCTGTGAAGGTTCTCAGTCATCCAGGTCATCGTAGTCAAAGGAGCTTGCAAAGAAACGCGTCTGGACTTCTTTAAGTTGCTTGAAGAAGTTTCACCTCTCATCTCCTCTCCCTGGCTGATTGGGACCCACACCCAGTTCCACACCTTGGCTCAGGCAATTAGAGGATCATCAGGGGGTCCTTTTGTCCCTCTGTGGGGGGAAACTCCCACTAGGTTCAAATCTGGGACTCTCCACCATTTGACCTTAGAACTGAAGAAGCTTCTCGGATGAGAGGTGAAACGTCTTCAAGCAATTTAAAGAAGTCCAGACGCTTTTCTTTGCAAGCTCCTTTGACTTTTTGGTACATCCTTCGCCATCTTACAGTGCTGTTAAAGCAGCCATTCCTCAACTCTCTGTGAATGGTACTCATGGTCATTGATCAGTGGGCTTTGGCGTGGAATTACTAAATTTAGATACCCAGTGGTACAAAATACCATTAACTTTGGTCCCAGTGCTGATTGTCTTTTTGTTTGATTCCATATACTTAACTCATCTGTTTAAGCCAAGTTACCCGCCTGTCTCTCATTCACTCTGTCACACGCATGCAGACTTTTTCATGCACAGAGGCACAGGGCTCCCTCATCCCATCTTTTAGAGAGAATG